AATATTAAATTTAATTCGTATGTATTTGAGGTTAAATGTATTGTTATTAATTAAGCTGGAGCTCTCGCTTTAATCGATTCGTTTAGTCCAATTAATGATAATTASAATAAATTTACTATAGGCCCTTTGAATTAGGTCAGTTTCACTGTACCGTCTTATCTATATTGTGCAAGCACTCACTCTCGTTCTCATATCTGCGTTAATTCTGCTGATAAACGCTAATTTATTGTTTATACATTTTCCTACATTACGTTTTATTGCTTTTTCATTTGCAAAACATGATCRTGGCTTTCTGCAAGAAATTTATAATTGAACGGTGGTAGTTGCGTTTTTCAGCTCCGCTTATAAGTTGGACATTTGATTTCAAATTAATTTTAATCAAATTTAATTGTTTATTCTAATAAGCAAAACATACGTAATATATAGAATATGCAAAAAAAGGAAGTTGACAGTGGTGCAAGGCGTGTTGATTGCCATGTAAGTAAGCCATGTTGTAATAACAAATCGAAGTACTCAAAACATGCAACTTTGCTTGCTTACAAATATACATGTATATATAGTAAGTACTTATATACATATATAATATGAAAACAAAAGGCGGTGTGAAAAAGTCGTGATCTATTGTTGTTCGAATTAAAAAAATAATTTATTTCATTTATGCACTTACAGATATTGATGATGTACTATGTATGTACATACCGACGYGTTTGAAAAAATAAAAGCAACCAAGGAAAAACTGAAATCCATGAACAATAYATTTCGAAAAATATTTTACTTAAATTTTTTCGATAAACATTTGTGTATAGTTCGAGTTAAAAAAAATAAGTGAAACAGTTTTCACTTAATAACTTTGAAATATTTGCAATTAAAACAATATTGTTTTAGATATATCTTTGSTTTACTTTATTAAGCATTCCGAATACTAAAACTAATTTTTTTGTTTTACACTTATTTTATTGGCCAACCCACTTTAATAAGGCAATGATAAATTGTCACTCAATCGTGAAATTAACAAATCAACCATGAAGTTGTTGATACTGTCGCTCTAAGCATTCAGCTTCGTCGTAAAAATATAACGGTATACAAAGTAACAGTTACAACGCTGAAAGACGTGGTTTTATTTTATGTTGAAGAGAATATGCCAATTCGAAAGGGTACCAATAACCAAGGCATATCTCGAAAGAAGTTAATGAAATATTTCATTTGAAAAATATTAATATRATGGATTGGCCGACGTGATCCCCTGACCTTAATCTGTATATACTACATACGAACCAAATTTTTAATTTGATTATTATTTGCGTTCATCTTTGCTAGTTCCTGGAGATTCTTGTTATTGTTTTCCACAACAAAATAGTAGACTCACACATTTTCTTTCTAATCTTTAACTTCAAAAATATTCGTAAGATTAGATAAGTAAATAGAGTATTGAGCATCAATTTGAATTAGTTTAGGTAGAGTGAAATAAGAAGAATAGGAAACTTGTTTAAAGAGACCCAAGAAATCGATTGATATTTTTCTAAAGTGATAGCGAATGGCTTAAATTATATTAATAAAAATGAAACACCTGGACGACCTGGAGCGCCAAACACCAGTTCTAGATATATCAATATAGGATACTACTGCAAAATTATAGTTTTTGTGTCAGCCAGGGTTCATGTGGTCACTCTTATTTTTTTTGTAGACAACTGTACATACTACATTAGACTAAATCAATAGAAAACTAGTTTTTGATTTTCAGATTATAAATGAAAAGTACATTTTTATACACACATTATCTATGTATAATCTAAAGAATTCGAAACTTATTTTATTATCTATATATTTTGTTATTTRTTATGTGTATGACTGTTAATGGAAATATTTGTTTTTGATTATATTTTAGATGGCTGCTGATATCAAATTCAATAGTTCGTTAACATCTTCCGATCCATACTATAAGCCCGTTCTCATAATTGGACAGTTGCGTCACTTAAATTTGTTAAAATTTTCAAATGTATCGTGCAAATTAGATTCACGTGTCGATGAGACTACATTTAAGCATGCCATTGCTTGTTTACATCCTTCGCCTACGGATAAGTGTTCTCTGTATTTGGATTGTGCCACCGTAGCGGCTGTGCCGCTCAAATGCTCCCGTCATAATACACCTTCGCGTTCGCACGCCATTACTCGTCTAGTTCGGACGCACATTATGCACGCCAACGAAGAGAGTGTTGTTATTGTGTGCGATCGTGGTGATTTGTTTGCTAGTGCTTGTGCTGTAGCACGGGCTTTTCCACTGTATTCTCGAAAAACTAGTGGTGGCCAAAGTAAATCTGAAAATTATTCTCAAGATGAGGTTATGGACAACGATGATAACTACGACAGTGCCAAGCCCATAATAAATGTTGAATTCATTATCATTGAAAAAGATGGACAAGTTTGCGAAGAGCCCCTAAACTCCACGGATATTTTATGTATTGAAGAGGCGGCGCGTGGTATACGTTTAGCGGCACGTATAGTAGATATGCCCTGCAATGAAATGAACGTAAGTCATTTTGTGAAAGAAGCAGAAATCATAGCGAAAGAATTATGCATAAAGCCCACTGTAATACGTGGTGAAGAGTTGCGTGAACGCGGATTTGGTGGAATTTATGGTGTTGGCAAAGCAGCCGCTGTTCCACCGGCTTTGGTTGTACTCTCCTATGAACCAAAAGGCGCTCAGGATACTGTTGCTTTGGTCGGCAAGGGTATTGTTTATGATACAGGCGGCTTGAGCATTAAAGGCAAGACAGCTATGCCGGGTATGAAGCGTGATTGTGGCGGTGCTGCGGCTATTTTGGGTGCCTTTTATGCGGCCATCAAATGTGGCTTTAAAGAAAACTTACATGCCGTTTTATGTTTGGCTGAGAATGCGGTGGGTCCGAACGCTACTCGGTAAATTAAATAATTAAATAAGTATTACAATTATTAATTGTTATCAATAATATTTCCGGTTGCTGATACACAGTCCAGATGATGTGCACACTTTGTATTCTGGTCGTACTGTTGAAATTAACAACACTGATGCTGAGGGGCGTCTCKTATTGGCTGATGGTGTTAGTTACGCTCACAAGGATCTGAAAGCAAACATCATTCTGGATATGGCTACTTTAACCGGTGCTCAGGTGAGTACATCCCAATAAAAATCATGATTTATATAATACATAAATCCAATTAATACAATTACTAAATAATAATATCGGCATCTTCAACCGATTTTTTAGTTTTAAACATTGTAATGTAAAGCATTCTGTTCTGTGAACTTGACAAAGTGCTATTTAGAAAACAACAACAGGAAAATGTGTCAAATTGTTCCTTCACCCAAACAAACAGTTGTTCACCTAAACACTATTTACATTTTGAAATTTTTATGTGATCAGATCCGGCTGTCATCTGCATACACCCGAACTCGTTTCTAATATTTCTAATTTGTTGGAACGGTTGATAGCGATCCATTTTATAATATAGCTGCCATATAAACTTACCGATCAAAATCAAGTGGCTGTATGGAAAACTATTTTATTTGACAACACATCTTCACGAAATTTGGCATGGATTTATTCAAAGCAACGCTATAGTCCCCAAATATATTGTATACAATAGCATATGTTACCATATAAACTGACYGATCAAAGTCAAGATAAAGACTTTAACCCAAAGCTTACCGATCCAAACAGGTTTGAATCGCCTAAATAATAGCCCTTGACCTTGTGGAGCAGCTCCAGTAAAGTAGTAGCGACTGGTGAAGGAACTGCGCAACTTCRTTCTAGATATTGCAGCAGGTTAAACTCGTGCATATCGTTTTTTGAGTCTCGTTCCTTCCTTCGTTAGATGATGTTTACGACAATCAAAATGCCAAAACACTGCGCACCACTTACTTTCACTCGTGAGTAGGTTCAGAATGCCATCAATACGGCGAAATCATCAAATCCATTGGCCCTGATTTAATCAACATACTTATGTTAAATCATCTAGGCTCGACGGGAGTACGTTACCTCACCAAAGTTCTCAACCTGTCGCTGGTCCTTCTACAATTACCCGGTGTGTGGAAAGTCGGAAGAGTGGTCCCTTAACTGAAACCTGGGAAACCCGCTAGTTAAGACACTTGAAGTCTTGGCATTTCCGAACTTCATATCTCGAATCTCGCCCAACCTTCATAGGGAGTTTCCATAACCTCGTACGCTGATGATTGCACGATATTGCCATCGGGTAATGTAATCGATGGCATGTGTTTAAAGGTAAACGGCTATCTCTCCGACCTTTCTAGCTGCTTCCCTGCACGGAACTCAACACTCTTGATCACCAAATCCATACCAACCATATTTACAAACTGGACGACAGAGTACAGACTTCACCTTAATATTGCAGTCAATGGCGTCAAGATCCCGACTCAATAATCCCAAGATTTTAGGTGTAACTTTTGATAGTCTATGCTCCTTCTCTTCTTATATGAACGCGATTATCGCCAAGGTACAGAGCCGCAACAAAATCRTCGAGTCGCCAGCCGCCAGCACACGGGGAAAAGATAAAGAAWCGTTGTTGSCAACATATAAGGCAATCGGCCGGCCGGTCCTTAACTACTCCGCATCAATACTAGCTTTTATTCTTATTTTTGGAAGTAATATGGTGTTTTCTTTAGCGTTTTTGCAAATGAAAATAAATGTTCGATGGGATTGATATCTGGACCCTGTGRAGGTTTTAATAACAAATGGGGTATTAACCAAATCTTAACTATGTGTGCGATATGTTTGAGATCGTTGTCCTGCTGGAAATATAATAATTACAATAACCAATCATATGGAGCAAAGTCAGCCGGTTCTTCGAAAATTCGGGTAACAGTTATAAGGGGCTGRGTTAAGTTTTCGCTCACATTTCTCTATTTTAGGTGCAAAGAAAAAACTGTCATGACTAAAGCACACTCTCCAATTTTCATTAAGATAATTCAAATATTGCCTACTATATCTAGCAATGAGTCACCTGGAATTTCGAAAATCTTTATATTAGGTATATGGCCTGGTTCGACCAATTTTAACATACAGACATATCATTATCAGAGAAAGATTATCCCTGATTTTCAATTTTATATCTGACTGGGGGGGATACTGGGGTCCACATATTCCGTATCTGGGGTATTGAATAGTTTTGGTTGGATTTTTATGCAATTTTTTGTCAAAAGGTGCCATACTTTAAGTTGTATTCTGTTATAGTATTAGTTACTTTTTGATTTGTGTACTGGAAGGTGGAAGAATCAAGTGGAATTTTAAATTGTGTTACATGGGAAGTAGGCGTGGCTGTAGTCCAATTTTGCCTATTTTCACAGAGTAATATCAGCATGTTCGTTAAGAACCACTGGCGTATTTACTTATTGATTTATCGCGCTTTTAGTATAATTTAACAGTACTGTTATATGGGGAGTGAGCGAGGTTATCCTCCGATTTCAACCACTTTCACGCTGTCGGTAGGATTCTTAAAATATTTGTACTCCGCAAATTAGGTTGATGTAGCTTAAGTGGTTTAGGAGGTATGTACATTAAACTTACTAGAGGGCTGGTCCAAGCCCAATTTTTAAAAAGTTTTTTCCCACAGGTGCCTCTTGGTACTGCAATCCTCTGTACCAAATTACAGTTTAACAAGGTGTGTTCCAAAGTAAATAAGACTTTTTGAATCTAGYGCCCCTTGTGGCGCCATCTATATGTTGATTGTCCAGTGAGACAATTTTATGACATTTCATCGATTGCAAGTGAAGTTATTGCTTTTTATGTGCGAAAATGAGCTTCGAAAAATTGGTAAAACTTTTACCGAAATGTTTCAATTGAGGAAACAAGTTTATGGTGATGAGTGYCTATACCGTAGCAGAGTGCACGAGTGGTTTTAACGTTTTCAAAGTGGTCGTGAGGACATAAATGACGATCAACATGTGGGCCAATTAAAATCCGTGATCACCGGAAATTCCATCGAACTGTGCGTGAATGCATCAAAATTCAGCCGAAATCATCATTGGAATTGAACA